TGAAGATTGGAATGGAGAATTGAAGCTTGAGATTGAGTCTTGAATCCGGAATTAGAGCTTGAGATGTTTGAATTTGGTTGAAGATCTTGGTGGAATTTTGGAGAAAGCTTAGAGAGTGTTTTTGAAGTTAAAAAAAATGACTAAGTATGGGACATTTATAAAAAATGTCCGTAACCCGCATAAAAAAAAAGCTCATTGGAAATTGCAAATCTGCACAGACAGGTTTTACGAAAATGGTCATAACTCCCTCATCCTAACTCGGAATGAGGTGAAACCAAGTGCGTTGGAAAAATAACTCAAAGAGCTTTAATTTAATAAGTTGTGGCCCTTCCAGTTTCTTGTGTGCTAAGAGATATGCCCCTTTAAAATTGACCCTCCAAATCACATTTTTTTGCGATTTTTGAATTTTGATACGGTTGCTCTAAAATTCGGGTTAGACCCATTTCCCACTCAATTTGATCCCCTGAATAAGAATATGAAGTCGAATTTCCGAAATCATGCACGGATTTTGAGATATATGGAAATTACAATTATAGGTGTTTCCGAAGCACATTTTCGGGCATTTTTGGGGTCGTTTCAGGGCCCAAGATGGGTTGCTAGGTAGAACTCAATGATAGAGTAATGTTAGTTCCACCATCTGGACCTAACAAGAAGCATAATTCTATTCTAAAATTTCGTTTCATTTAACAAGAGAATTCAAATGGCAATACAATGAGACATTATCACATTGGTTCAAGACAATATTTTTATTGTTACATTATAAATGTTATAGACAGGTTAAAAAGGTATATTTATTGTAATTAAAAATAATTTCATAAAATAATATAACCGAAACTTTATGTAAGCTTATCTGCATAACCTAAATTGTGGTGACAATTAATTTCACCAAGTATGTTCTATTAAAAAAAAAATAGCAATAACGCCTGAAAGCTAAGGGACATTATATATTGTATCACATGTCAAAAAAAAAATGTACACCATCACATGCGAGCCTGCAAGGACAATATATAATATATATGAAAAGTCAAATGATTCTAGGTGTTTGTTTCTAGCATACCGTCCTAATAAGTTTGGGGTCTAAAGCCAAATTTTATAAAGAGATCTTATTTTTTTTGCTGACATATATAAATTGAATAATTATAACATACAAGGTAGGCGCATACATTATGAAGTAAGAATGTAAATTTTCAATGAAAAATATATAATATAAAGTTAGAATAATTATAAAGCCTGACTCAAAAAATTGAAAACAATATATATTGATATCGAAATAGTGTTGCATTGAAATTGATAAGTTAATATAATGATATAAAAATAGTGTTGGTTAGGTTTATTATTTTGAAATTCAAAGAGGACACCAAACAATAAATTTGACTTTTTTTTATAAACACACAATAGATTTTGCCTAATGCAGAAGGTTTGACGTTTGAGAGACTTTAAAATATTCAATAATGAGAGAATAAAAATAATGGAAGGGGAATAAAAAAAAAGTAAATATAAGAATAATAATGTTGGTTCATGATAATCGTCTGAATATAAATGAGGCAACAAAATAGATAGTCACATAAGAAAGGTTTCTACAATTAACTAAATATTATTCTATTTCTCAATTATTACAACGATCTCTATATTAATTGTAACGACCCGAACCGTCGTTATTTAGAAAAGGAAAAACGTCGGGAGAACTGGACACATCATCCCGCCATAGCGGGACATATGCCGCTAGGGCGGCGGCGCTCCAGCGGGACAGGGAGCGCCAAAACGAGATGGTCGGAGCAGAACTTAAATGACACGAAATCTTATTTTCTCCTTTTTCCCAAAACACCAAAAAATGGGGAGAATCACCCCGGAAACCCTTAAAAAGATAGGCTTGAGAAGAAAGGAGAAAGAGATTTCTAGCGTATGGACGACGATAGCTTGCGAATTTCCAGTCAAAATCCACCGTCTCGTTGACTGAAAACCAGGATTGGAGCCATAATCCCTTGCAGTTATTTGGCGCCTTAATTGAGTAGTGTTAAATCTGTGTGCACTGAGTAGTATATTGTTAATTGACAGTAGACTTCATGCGTAGGCCTACGGGTACGAAAAAGGGATGATTATAGATATATACTATCAATTGTTGAGTAAGATGGGCACCGTAAAAGGAAACCTTGTCCTGTGAGATAGGTCTAGAGGATGTTTCGACTTCTGCTTATTGTGTTGTGCATTCTTGTTATTGGTCCCATGTTATGTGTACCTGAATGAGAATAGAGAAATGTGAACCGAAATCAAGGGAACAACTAATTATGAATAATTACATGCCATGAACCTGTCACTTGATTGTATGATTTGAGTATCGTTCATTATGGATGTGATTGTAATTGTGTTAACTGGATCGGATGTCACGTTCCGACACATATATTGGATCGAATGTCACGTTCTGACATATATATTGGATCGAATGTCACGTTCTGGCACATATATTGGATCAGATGTCACATTTCGACACATATATTGAATCACGTGTCACGTTCCGCACATAAATAATGGATTGAGTGTCACGTTCTGACACACTAATAGCTTGGGTGTGAGTTCCATGAGAGAACCATTGGTGACTACTATGTTCATATCTACCTGATGTTGGGAATTAGTATGGTGCTTCTAAAATGATGACTGAATTGTATTCTGCATATGTGTGTTCTACCATGTCGTGTTTACCTGTTATATGTCTCGTATTGAATGAATTGTGAATGGTCAGGCCCAATCGGAATGTGGTATGATAAGTGGGGACTGAGGTTCCAAGTGTTACTATGTATTGCTTTAGAAAGGATGTATGTGTTCTTAAAAGTGGGGAGGTGTTTGTGTCGTAAATGTTTGGCAGCTAGGTCTTACCTGGGAAGGGGATTCATATTGAAACGGTTAGCGAGCCTTGATAACATGCACTATGGGGTCAATGGTGAGTGGTGATGTGGAACAAATAAGGGTATGTCGTGAGGGGTTGACCGAATTGGTAGTGATTGTATTTGGGGTCCCCTCTATGAGATAGAATGGCTAAGTCATGATTAAGAGCGGAGCGAGTAAGGGGTTAGAGTCAAGTATACTAGTGTGATTTAAGGTGTTTGGAAATGGTAAGGGCAGGAGGATAAGGGTTGAAGGGTGTACGGTTTTATTGCATGTTTCCTGCTAGTCGATTTCCTTATATTATGCGGTGGGTATCGGGTTGACCGATGATGCCTACCAGTACATGTGGTTTGTACTGATACTACTCTTGCTATGTCTTTTTGGCATAGTGTGGTTGTAGGATCAGTGATGTTTCATAGGTGAAGAGGAAGATAATCTCCAACAACTCCTATTTTTTCTTCCATGTAGTGGGAGCTGCGTCATTTGTTATTATGTTACATGCCTTGTAAATCTTAGAAGCTCTTGTACCTGTTTAGACTAGATCCCTGGGGTGTTAATTACTTTACAAGTCTTAACTTGAATCGTTGAAAAACACTTTATTTTGTAAAATCTCATGAATGTTATTTTATCTCCAGTTTTTTTAATCTTCCGCATATCTTTAACTGTTTGGGAATCAAAGATTCTCCTACTTAGGTGTTAGAGTAGGTGCCCGCACGGCCCGATGGATTGGGTCGTAACATTAAATGAGGTAATAAATTATTATATTTTCTATTCAATTTTTTCTTTTCAAGTTTATTAATATATGAGATTTTTTAACAATATATATATATATATATATATATATATATATATATATAGGTAGGCCAAACACATATGCAGACCCTTAAACTTGTCCCTAAATTTCATTTTGACACTCCAACTCAACCTTGTTCCATTTTAACCCTTCAACTTCAATTTTTTATGTTCCATTTTGACACTTCTAAGTGATGTGACAGAGAGTGTGCATCACACATTCTCTAAGAGAGTGAAAGACAAAAAAAGTATTTTTTAAAAAAATAATAAAAGATTACCCTTCAACTCTATTTCTTTTATGTACCAGTTAACACAAAATACTAATTTTATGATTTCTTTATTTCTATTTATGTTATTCAACTGCAAATTTGCATTTTAAAAAATCAACGATCATTCGTTAATTATTGTAAAAATTAAAACTGACGGATTATCTTTTTTTTTATAAAAGAAGTAATAATTTCTTTTTAAGAGTTTTTCTATATTTTTGCGTGAAAAATAACCGATGAAAGTGTGTCGATTTTCTTTCTTAAAAAATCAATGACAACCCAACGAAGTCTATCGAGTTTCAACATTTTTTTGTAGTGTTATTAATTAGCAATGAACATGAGTTGTTTTTACTCGTATTTAGTTGAATGAAAAATTAGAAAGCTGATATTTGAGTTAGTCCAAGTAGACTAGATATGAAAAAAATATGTGATGTTATTTAAATTAACTAATTGTTTTTAAAAAAAACCAACACACTTTCACCGATTATTTTTTCACACAATAATGTACAGAAACTCTACAAAAAATATATTTTTAAAAAAACGATGTTCATCCATTATTTTGTAACACAATAATGGCATGTGAAGTACACACATCCCACTTTGTTGATTCTTTGGAAAGAAGTTCTAAAATGGAACATAAAAATTGGAGTTGAAGGGTTAAAATGGAATAAGATTGAGTTAGAGTGCCAAAAAGAAATTTATGGACAAATTTAAGGGTCTGCATATGTGTTTGACATATATATATATATATATATATATATATATTTCTTGCTTTCTATGAGAATTTTGAATTTAATGGCCTGTAATGACTTCCTATCTACATCAAGATTTCAACGAAATCTAATTATTGTGGTCATTTACTTTTTAAGGTTTTAGGAACATCCTTATAATAAGCACGTGCTACTATTTTCTCTGATATAATAAAGACACCTACATATATATATATAT